TTATCACTATTATTAACTATTATGTACTGTTTAATGTTCAAATATTCATCTTTCCAAACTGGTAGCCTGTTCTTTCTCACCCCTGCTGACCCACAACCCCATTGTACTTTTCATAGTCGAACTAAATTTCCCCATCATATTTTTGTCCCACCTTACTCGCACAACTGAAAAAAACCTCTCTGACCGATTTGCTGATTTACTCACCTGTATTACATTCATCCATCCATCCAGATCAACCTAGGACCAGGCATTACTGCGTAACACTCCGAGTTGCCACACCTTATATCAGTACATCAAGTAAAAAGGCAGTGAGGCGCAAGATGAAGATGAGTGAATGCAGTCAAAAGAAATATAAAGTATGAAAAGGGAGAAACGAAGAATGAGAAAGTGGTGAGATTCGGTATAGTGTCGTTAAGATGAGGATAATGTATGTATACATCTGCGCCACTGACATCGGTTCTCAGCCATATCACCTAGAGTCTCCAACCACTGGTTCCTCTTGTCCCGTGGACCCCAACCACCTAGTCTGCATCGCCATACACGGCCTGTATTACATTGGCCTTTGCTTCATGTCACGATGTAATTGGGTGATCTTAAAGGTCACCACTTTCTGTACCAAAACTTGAATATTAACCTGAAAACCTAACGTCAGATTCATACTCTTGAAAAGGACCTTCCTAGCAAGATCGAAACGTTGAGGAATCCTACAAAATCTTGGTTGTATTGTATGAGCTCAGAGAACTCAATACAACCAAGACCATCCGACTGAGCTACAAATATTCTCCACTATTTCAAAACTACGCAAAATATTTGTTTATTTTGTTATTTGTTCTAATATACTACGCCGGGATTACACAGGTAAAAATACACCTTATATGATATTTTGAGTCATCCTCAAAAAGCTGAACAAAGAGACAGATCTCTACCCATGAGAGGAGGATAGCATCCAAACAGATGGAAAACAACTTTATTCTTTGATCACATACTTTTCAACGTTAAAGAAAGTAACTCGTTCTTATTGGCTGCTCTTGAAATGAGTGACCTTGCTCGAGGGAAGGTTGTATGTAAGCTTTTCGGAACATCGCCTGGATGTCTAACCCTAGAGCTCTTAGTCATCAGTTTCTTCTTTACAAAGGCTCTCCAAAACCTTTGAAAGTCTGCCTAGATAGCACTCGTCAGACCGATAGCATCCTTTTGGCAGGTCACTAGTTTGTCAGGCGTGATAAACCATGATGTATGAAAAAACTACTCCGCAATTGCGGAAATTCCACTGCATAGACGTAGGCTGGTGTCATCATACATGGAATTCCCTTATGTGGGCACTGAGACTGCTGATCTTATTGACGACATAAGTCATTGTAGGCACTTGGTTGATAAACCGCAGATTGATGTGAGGACCGAAGAAATTTGTCTTCCAAGGCCAGTCCACCTCTCGAACATTCGTATTTCCAGGCTGCTTGAAGTTACCCTCCACTCCGGACATGGTCAGAACAACCCTCGGGTCATGGTATGGTCACCTTGGTCAGTCATAGAAGGAATAAAGAAACGACGTAAATCAGTACCTTAGTCATAGTTCAAGACGCAGAGAGCTAAAATTAGATGACTTCATACTATGAGGAAAGACGTTTTCCCTTGCTAATTGCTCTTCATAATGAAGGTTAACAGGATGTTGCGAGACACCCATGTTTCAATGGGTATATTCGATCACTGCTTCACATACCAAGATTTGTGGGAAACCAATGGGAATTTATCACATTTCTGAAAATTTTTGTTTCTAGATTCAGCTAGAAATAGCCTTGTCTTCGTTGTCAGGCAAAACCAATGTACTTACTTGGAGAATCTATCAATTCTTTTGGTGTTTCGTAAATTTCTTGGTGCCTATACTGTGAAACGTTTGTAGTAAATTGAAACAGACCATAGCATCACTTTGTATCTGTTGCCACACGATATAATTGAGCTCTGGTTCATTGACTTGAGCATAAGGTCATAGTGTAGAATTTCATGGTGTCATAAACCCTCATATACCTAGTCCGATCTGTGGCGTGTAAACTTGTAATGTTTTGATTTTCAGTTAGATTACTATCGCCAGAATTTAAGCTGTGTCAGGTCGAAAATTATTGCATCAATGTATATTCTGGGATATTAGATATTGTTTTGTTGGGTACCAGAGTCGGAGCTGTACCGCCGGACTCAATCCTCATTCATAGTTGTCCGTCTGCTTCTAGACTAGGAATTTCATTTAAGGCGACAAACATGTGGAAAAAATGATAGTTTTCATCACTTCTACATACGTTTGTATGAATCACAGCTTTCTCGGAATTTATGATCGAATACACAGCTACATAAATTCAGGCAGATTTCCTTTGGGATCTACGGTTACGTAAACTAGTCATTTTTCTCCGTTAGGTACGTTTTAGACGCAACTTCCATCATGTGAGCAGCCGGAAAGTAGCAACCACTGGCGCGCCTTCAATATCATACTAAGCTCAACACACTGCATCGTATGTTCCTAACCTTCTCTTACCTCACCACTTCCTGATGCCAGCATTAATCCTTTTATAGTTTCCTCAAACTTCCCATAGTGTGACCATTGGTATCGATCTAAGCCAGAAAACTACCATTCTTAGTTTCCTGAAACGATGCCACCCATTTGGGGCTTAAAAGGCTTGAACTCGGTTTAACTGAAAAACACACGTTTTTATCAAAACCCTAGAATTCCGAACCATGGACGTGTGCTGTTTTGAAAACTCGCTTACAAGACTCAGGTGTGGTTATTCACCTTGCATGGCCAATGGTGTGAGTCTTCAAGACCCACCTCACGAGTATTCGCAGTTTAGTAGCCGACTTCTGTAGACTCACTGGTGGGGGCATATCATTAGGTTCCAAAACGGGAGGCGTACTTCTCGACTAAATATCGACTGAAATCTGTTTGACTGAATTAACTTGGAACTTCAAAAAACGGTGACAATCTATTCCTATTCGTAGTACTCTCCTACTTGCCTACCAAATACATTTCGAATGTTACGAGTATGAATTCTATCAAAAGCTGTCAGCGAAGAAACGTTCAGATATAGTCAATGGTGTGTGACTCCATTCCTGAAGTAGAAGATCTAATCCCGTCATAAAGGCATCTTAAAGGTATCTATGGCATCCCATGCCGACGAGCCAATAGCAGTGATCGGCCTTTACAATTTAGTCTTGACAATCCCTCTTTTGTCATGTGTTCTGAATTTTCGAGGTGTAAGATGATGCTTAAAGACTGTTCTGCACAGACTTCTAGTTTATGCAGTCAATTCACAGAACACGTTGACCACTTTGGTTATTTAGGTAGTTGCATCATACCAAATAAATTGATTGCCGGTGAAATTTAAGCTCGAATACAAATGGCTTGTTCGTCGTTTATTAAATTATGACATATTTGACGCCCATAAAATATCCAGCTACCTATTAGAGGACGAGCATACTTTTATAAAGCCCACTCTATCCTACTAAATGACTGTGATACGCGTCCATCGAAATTACAAAATAGGCAGTTTAAGAACTTTTGACCACAGAATGCTCGTGTATATTCGAATCACTGTATGAGCAAAGGTAAGGTGACTGACAAAATCAAGTCAGCACACTTCACAGTAGGAATAGATGGATGGAAAAAGACGGTAATCAATGAAGGTAAAGGTTGCTGCGAATGTTTAAGCTTCCGAAGATGTCAGGGAGTGAATACATCTGCACCATTGCCACTGATTTTCAGACATTTCACCAAGAGTTCTCAACCACTGATCCCTTTCGTCTCAGGCACCCCAGCCAGGTAGTCTACACCTCCCAACATGACTTAGACAGAGTAACAGACTTCATGGGCTGGTGTCATGTCTTGATCTGGCCACCATGAACCCTCTTCCAGCCTAATCTAGCTTCGCCTAACATTATGTGTCAAGGTAGGCGGTGGCCCAGAACTTTCAGTACATGTGCAGGCCATCTCAATTGATGAAGGTTCACAACCTCAACATCGCTCACAAGGTGATTCGACCAATCGCGAGCGATTCTACAAAGGCATATGTGATCAACACTCTGTAATCGCCTCGTGTCTTGTACGTTCAACAGCTATGTCTCACAGTCGTATAACACGACAGAACAGAGTGCAGTGCATTGTACTTATCCTTTGAATAATAGTCAGATTTTTCACCAGTCTGTGCCACAAATGACGCAAGTTGGTAAATAACGAACCGGCTTTTTGTATCCCAGCTAAGATTTCATTAGGAACCAGGTCGTTTGAAGTGATGCAACTCGCCAAGATTAAGTGAAGTGGTCCACGCGTTGACTCGCTAGTTATGCCTGTAGCGTCATTTTACATTTGACATGTGCGAGACGCATGCCTAACACACTCAACTTTCTTCTTGAAGCGTTCAGGAAACCGTTCATTTTGTCAGCATTTTTACCTAGAAGAACACTTGTCTGTGTACTTCATGTTCACCAGATGCCGTCCAGTGTCTGTGAGTACAGAGTTGTCTAAGGTTGTGTCCAGTAATACCTCTACGATGAGATCAAGCAGGAAGGAAAGAAGGAGTTGGCGTCCCTGACGGACACTATAAGTTGGTGTCAGTTCGGATGATCTGTCTCCATATGCCTTTACGTGGGTGAGTTCGAGTAGACAGCTTTGATTAGGGCTACATACTTGTTTGGTACTCGTTTCACAGTCAGATAGTGCCACAAACCTCATGGTTGAGGGAGTCGAATACCGCCTTCAGGTCAAGAAGTATGGCAGGTATCGGGCGTTGACCGGTAAGTATTCCTGTGTTCCAGAACTTGTTGGAGAATATTCTCAAGTGTTTACTCACTTCTGAAAGACTGCCCACTCATGATTTAGTAAAATGCAAGCTTGAAGTGTAATCCTGCATTTGCGTGCCTCCTAGTTCACATCCATTTTTCTTTTTTCTTCATGCAGATGTGAAACGACAACTACGGAAGTATAAATTTTCATTTCAAAGTCATTTTAATTAAACACAATGATTAAGGCGCGTAAAGGTAATCCTGCTTTGTAATGTATGTATATCAATTTTTTCACGTTCAAGTACCCAATGCTACCAGAGAGGAGCTTATGGTGTTAACTGTCAGTGAAATAATCTCACACTTGTTGAAAGCTGTCAAAGAGAAACATGATGTCAACTTGAATAAGTGTGTGGCTCATATTTCGCTTATGTCCCATCTATTATTTCATTTTAATTTATTAGACTAAAGTCACTCATATCTAGCAAATATGGTTTAGCCTCACAACCACGATTGGTTGACTTAATTGCCGCTGTACCGGCAGAACACAAACACGTATGTTGTTTTATATTTTAGCAAAATTAATCTCTCTCAGGTGTTATTACCACACCTGAAAGCTAAACCAGTTCGATCGGCCAGTGGTGTAAGTCAATTTTTTCCTCCAAACAAAAAATTTGTGTTTTAATACCATATTTCTTTGATTTTCAGATCGTAGTTATAGCAGTTATGTGTAAACCACACAGATGCCCACACATTGCTATGACTGGAAATGTATGTGTGTAAGTGTTTTGTCAGTTTTATCTCATTTTATGATTTCTTGTTTACAGTTATTGTCCAGGTGGACCAGATTCCGATTTTGAATACTCTACACAATCGTATACTGGATACGAGGTAATATATGTGTATTGTGTTTCAACTTCCCTATCCCTACCATTTGTTTAGCCAACTTCAATGCGTGCTATTCGTGCACGTTACAATCCGTTTATCCAAACACGCCATCGGATTGAACAAGTAGGTATCATTGAGATTGTTTAGGAAGCAGGAACTAATTTCCCTTTCCTATGTATTAGCTTCAACAACTGGGACATACATGTGATAAAGTGGAGTTTATTGTCATGGGTGGTACATTCATGTGCCTTTCTGAAGATTATCGAGATTATTTCATTCGAAGCTTACATGATGCACTCTCTGGGCACACAAGTCAAAATGTGGATGAAGCTATAAAGTGAGTTTTAGGTGAAATTCAAAGTTCTGACGTACTTGAAATGAGTTGATGAAAACACCCAAATGTTTGCAACTAGATGTTAGGATTTAGAGAATTGTAGCAACGTCTGTCTTAACATTAGAGTAGGTATTTGTATACTAAAACATAACTATGTTTCCCATTCTCGAATGCTGTAAAAACGGACCAATACAGATTGGTTCCTCTAAATTTGATAAAATACCCTCTCAAATCATTCAACTTTCCTCTCTATTACTTTGGAAATGCGTGAGACAGCTAAAAGTATCTCTGACTTTTGTTGAAATATCTGAAAGTCACTGGCGTAGATATATTCACTCTTTGATGTCTCCTAAAGCTTGAATATTTGAACTAACCTTTATCTTCAAGTTTTTTTATTCTCTGACATAACTTTGTCTACTTTGATATCACTTTTTCTATCCACCTAATCTTTGTATACTACTGTGAAGTATGGCAACTTGAACCGATGTAGCTATGTGTAAGGTTGTACTTTTATTTTTTCTGTTTGTCTGTCTGAAGTATGCTAACATTTTTAATCAGATCCCGTTTTGATGATCATTAAATATGTATATTTTTGAAGTGTTACTTTACAACTGTATGTTGATATCATAATTGATTGAAAAAATTTTACAACATGCTTTTTTTCCTCGTACGCGAAGTAGTCATTAGGTGATAACTGCTGTAGCAGTGAGACCCGACTAGTAGCTGCGCTTTGTAGTTGATACACTAGAACATCAGGCCACCAAGCATGGTAAACACAGCTTACCTTTTCCCTTGTTTCCAAACATATTCGTGTATTTAAGACATACAACGAATGTGAAAGGCAAGATTTAAGGAATATGTAAAATAATCCAGTAAAACTTGTAACCTGAGTACTGTAGATACTAATTATTGGCTCTTTTAAGTTCTTCGGAGTAATTATTAGAAAACGAAACTGAAAATTTGTTGCAGGTACAAGAATCTCTTTTATGCGGGGTGAAAAATCAAACTTCTGTGTGCCGGAAAACTGAATTAACTTAAAACTAGTGTGGTAACAGTTAAGACATGAATTAGCCACAGTTATTCATTAGACGAGTGTATATACTCATTGAGTCATAAAAAACCCAGACAATCAAGAGAAGAATAGGTAGGCGGGCAAAATCAACGTAGAACCTTACACACAAGTGCATCGGCTCGAGTTATCACCCTCCATAGGAGTATACAAAAAACAGAAGGATAGAAAAAAACTGATATCAAAGCAAATAAAGTAGTGTAAAAGAATTAAAAATTTGAAGATAACAGTTAGTTCAAGTATTCAAGCTTTAGAAGATGCCATTGATTTTCAAACATTTCACCAAGAGTCCTCAGGCACCCCGAGCAGAAAGTTTACATCTATCACGACTCAAACACTCAGTCAGGTACACCATTGACCGGTGCCATGTCTTGGTCTTGCGAGTCTTCATCCTCTCCTAATCTAATCTAGCTTCGGTTAACATTGTTTGTCAAGGTAGGCGATGACCTAGCATGTGCATTACATGTGCGACCATCTGAGTTGGTGAAGATTCACGACCTTATCAGTCAACTTGCTTTGTCATGCCTGGAACCCTTCGAATGGTCTAAAAGTTGCTCACAAGGTGATTCAGCCAAACGCGAGCAATGCTACGAAGATATGTATGACCAAAACCCTGTAACTGCTTTATGTCTTCTACTTTTAACAGCCATGTCTCGCAGTCGTTTAACACGACAGAACAGAATTCATCCTTTGATAGATAGTCAGAAATCTTGCCAGTCGGCGCCACAGATGACGCAAGTTAGCAACTGCCAAACAGGCTTTCGATAAAAAGAAAATTTTCTTTTCAAGATGTCACTTATTAATGCTATTCAATCTTATTTATAAGTACTGAAAACGAAATTAAGCATTAAACGTGGGGTGGAAAAGGCACGAAAATGACAATTCCAAAGTTAAAGCATAAAACGTTCATTTTGTGACATTTAGCATCTTCAACGCTCCAGTAGTCTGATCTATTTATTTTTTACTTTTTCATTATCGAAACATCCATTAGGAGAATCCTTGTCAATAAGTTGGTGCATAAATATGATTATTTTTTTTGTGCTTTATTGAATTTCAGTAGTATTGCTTTTTAGTTTTATCACATGGGACGAATGTATCTTCTAATCGTATAGAAGAAACAGTTAATGTAGCTAAAAATGTTTTAAACTGCAGAAAAGTTTATCATCTTCCTTAACTCATTAAATTTAAACGCATGATTGTTTTTATGTTCAATATTAGGTATTCTGAAAAAAGTAAAGCCAAGTGTATTGGGATTACAATAGAAACACGTCCAGATTATTGTTTGAAAAAACATCTAAGGTAAGTTACATCTCTCTTCAATAATAGTTTTTTTTTCCAATTAATAGTGAAATGTTACGTTATGGATGTACACGTTTGGAGATTGGTGTCCAGAGTGTCTATGAAGATGTTGCTAGGGATACAAATCGGTAAGTGTAGGCTGTAGTGTTGATGTTTTTTCTTCAGTCTTTCAAGATTATATGATAAATGTATTGTATATAGGCTAGTCAGTGTGTAAGTGTGTTCATTCACATAGTGTTTTGTGATTTGTTTGCATCTCATGTTTCTTTACCCTTCTTCAATCAGATATCTTAGTAATGTCTAAAAAAACTCAATTACCTAGTCTTCAAATCGAATTATACACCGTTCAGTATTACAAACTATGAAATTGCTAATATCAAGTGCAATCTGCGGTAGTCGTGTATCAATTCAGTTCCAGTCGCCTTATTTATCGTGCACATCGTCCATTTCTGATTACACTCTTCCTCTTGATTACCAATTAGTAATGACCAATGACTTTCGTCTATTATCTAACTGTTCTCAGTCAAGAATTTAAATGTCCCTAAAGATTATCTTTTGGACGTATGTGTGTGTGAGCGCGCGTGCCCAAAACTCTTCCAATCCCACCTTACTAGTCACTCGACGACATAGAAAATAGCAAGAGTAGTAAGTAAACAAGATAAAGCTCTACTTACAGGTGATTTTAATACTCCCAGAGCTTTTCAGAAGGACTTATCGAATAAGTTACATGTAAAGTTGAAGAGTTTCCATGAAACCTAGATGTAATCTGATTAGTTGTGAATTTGATTGGCTTCCTTAAGAATCATGAATGTAGATATCATACATGTAAACGTGTACCTACTTAGACTTGATGTGTCCTGGTAATTTATACACTTAAACTTGAATGCAAGATTGTGTTTATTCCTCCCACTTGTCAATAACAAAAGTAACTAAAAGAAACAATGGAGTGCACTTAACATATTCTACTACAGTTCAAGACTTTGGTACTATTTACGTTGTCTACTAAATCAGTTATTATTCAAGCTTTACATAAATATGAGTTGTTTAAGCCATACTACGGAGACATCTGTAATCGTAATCATAAAAACTTGAAGGTTTGTGTTTTTCACTTTCAACAACCATATCTCAAAACTTTCATCTAAATAATTAGTCGAACATCCTATCGTTAAGAGAAACAGCAGGGTTTAACATATCTCGAATAGATCCTTTGTAATGATGGTGAGATTTTGTCAACAATTAGCCAATTTAAATGAAATACAACTTTTAAAGTAGTTGACATACTGACCTTCATGTCCGCAGCTTTATGTTATCATTAATATGCGCAAAACACTAAACGTATTTAGAATTCAGCTTAGGAAGCAGTTCAAGCCTTCTTTTTTGAGAAGGTTTATTTAACAGAAATGAAGATTCTCATGTCTAAAATGTCTTCAGGACACCAAGTTATTGCAAATGTTTATTGCTATAAACTAAGTTTGGTGTGTGGGTGGTCATGTTGACCAACGTGAAGCTGGTTTAGATACCCAATTTTCAGTTGGCAATAAAGATTCGAACCGCATAGCACCTACTGAGTTTTAAGCAGCATCTCCAGTTGTCACCCCTCCACACACACAAAGTTCGGCTCAATGCCTACTGTATGTCTGCAGTTTCCAGATTCGACAATCCATGGATAGTTCGGAAGAATCTGCTCAACCAAATTAAGCCCCTTTTTCCAACTTCAGATGATGATGAGGGTTTGTTTAAAGCCAAACTGGCGATAAATATAGCTCATCAGTTCACCAAAGATTATCAACTGAGACAGAAAAGTACTTAAATGCCCGAGTATTTTAGAAGTGTGAAGGAACCGTGACAAAATTGGGATGTTATCATACTCTGATTTGATAGGTTTTTTTAGTGAAGATAATTATACCCTTTTCGTCAATTGCATGTGTGTTGGTGTAAAGGTTCTCCCTACAATTAAGTGTTAATAATTTACCAGAATATTCCTATCTGTATAAATCGAGTCACGGGTTCGAAACGTGCTCCACCCTACCGAGGTTTAAGCAGCCAAGTAGTAGTATCATTAGCCCTTACACATACGACAGGTGTGTCTCATTTCTGCCTACTACATCAATTTGCATAAAGGTTGCTGAAGTTTTTCATGCTGTATATAGGTTAAGTATCAAAGTGATCAAATGAAATCTGCTACCAAATAATATCATGAGCATTTTAATCCTACAACCTTCATTATTCACTGGTAAAGTTATTTTCCAGCTAAATGAATTTATCAGGATGATCAGAGTAAGCTTAGTTTACTTTAGTGTATTGTAGATAAGATGAATGTAAAGCTCTAAGAGAACGGTGAAATATAATGCTCACTTATTTTCTTCTATTCACTAGTAGTATGTTTTTTGAAGGAAAATTTTTTTCAAGTTACCTTCAATTAGTATGATGAAAATTTAATAATAGTTTTTTTAATCGGTTTATTACAGCTCATAGGATAAAAGTAATAAGGATATTAGTAGATCCATATGGTAGAATGTTCACCCTCAGACGAATTTAAGGATCTCATCGAACTTTTATGACTGCAGTAGTTGACCATACCACCTTTATTTGAGACAGAGAGAGAGAGAGAGTTAAAGTGGACTGAAACAATGTTTAACATTTGAGATGAAGTGAAGAGTGATTACATTTCTGGGTTATTGTTGTCCATTCACGTTTGTAAACCATTTCGTCCGTAAGCTTATGACTAGATTAAAATCGTTGGAAATAGTCGAGAAGTTTGTATATCTGGATAGTTGTGTCAGTGCTGGTTGGAAGATGTATTAGTGGTGAAATTTTTAACGGCATATCAAAAGCCAGAGTAGGATATGTCAATGTGGACCACCCTTAGCATTATCATGACAATAGTCAGGTTTACAAAGTTGATTATTTATCCATGATGACAATGAACCTGCTAAGACAAGGAGTATCTTTTCTAATGATAATTTATGATATGTAACTTTTATTTTTAAACCTAAAAGAGGACATACTGTCAAAGCTGTCTGTGAGTCATTTCATTTATCCAAGGATGCTGGATTCAAAGTGGTTGCACATATGATGCCTGATTTACCAAATGTTGGCTGGGAACGTGATTTAGCACAATTTGCTGAATACTTTGAAAATCCAGCTTTTCGATCAGATGGTCTAAAAATTTATCCTACACTTGTAATACGTGGAACTGGTCTATATGAATTGTGGCGTACCGGTAGATATAAAAGTTATCCACCTGGTATGCTGATTGATTTGATTGCACGGATTTTGGCCTTAGTACCACCATGGACTAGAGTTTATCGAATACAAAGGTAGGTGACCTTTTTACTCATTTACAACATTTAGTTCCCTTCATAAATTAACTTCAAAAAAAGCAATAAGAAGACGTAACTGTCTGAACCATGTAATGTATATTTGTGTAACACATTTCGATCACACAAGTACTTGTCACAGGTATTTATTTGAAAATTTATCAAAAGTTAAGGGGTGAGAATAGAAAAAGAGGTCAAGTATGGGGGAGGGGGTGGCTGAATTAGGTTTAATGTGATAACAAATTGCTTTTGAAAACACAAAGGTGGCTTAGACTTTCTAATATGTAAGTTCTCAACAATGTTAACGATCCGTCCCCAACATATTTTGTAAATAGGTCTAAAGGAATTAAGAATGTCAATCTTATGACCTTGTCTCAACGAAATGTTTCATGATCGAAGAATTTGGACATTTGTTACCAACGTTTATGTGTTCTGGTGATTCAGTTTACTTCTTAAGCTAGTTTGGGATATGCTCCAAGGCACTTTACTTGTATAAATATATCATTCTCCCTAGTTAATTATTATCATAATGTTAGATTTAAGAATACTATGTTTTAAGTGACCAGTGTAATTGGATAATAGGGTTTTTTTGGCACAGAACAACTCAAATAATTGTTTCTAGTGATTTGGATACTTCGTTTCTGAACGTCAGTTCACTGAACTGCAATATGCTAGATGATTCCTACTACTCAGCCAAATTACGCTTTCCTGAGTGTGTTGGACCTGAAACACTTACACTTTTATAAAGACAGATTTACCTGGTAGGCCTAAAAATGAAATGAGACGTTTCATGCACCTGTCAGAAAAGCGTATCTGCAATCCTCTCAAGAGAACTGATGTTTTCTGAAAGTTTGGAACCTGTATCACTCAGTAGTAGTGAATGAGGTTGCAGATATATCTTTTACACGAGTGTAAATAAACATTAAACTTGTGTTTAGAAATTCTTGTCGATTGCATATAACCAACATTTTTCATGATGCACTGTAACGTCGAGTCTCTCCTAGCTTCGTGGTACATTACGTAACAAAGAATAAGGGAATAGGATTCATTTCTTAGATATCTTCCTCACCAGGAAAACGGATAGAATATATTAAGAGGAATATTTTTTGAAGGAACACTTTCATAGCTTCACACGGATTCAATATATAATAGAAACCTGCTCAAATGACCTGAGTTATAGAAATAAGAAACGTATGTTCTGGTGACTGTATTGAAGAAGAAATGAATAAGCTGAAGACAACATTGCAGCGAAATGGTTAAGTAAACACATGTTTAAGCCTAGAGAGAAGATAAAGAAAGTTAATGTTGCTAAAAGGCTTATATATCTTAGATGAAGTTTCAAAGGTGATATTGCCTCGGATATCTTAACACACCGATTAAGTAGATCAGTCGAAAAGATATTTAATGCAGGGAACCAAGGATAGGTTACCAAAGATGGCCACTTAAATGTGCATTTATGGGTCCAACTGCTCCTGTAGAGCTAGTTACAATAGACCGTACTCAAAGGGCTCTATCCATGCACGCTCGTGAACATGTACCATCTTGGTTAGGAAAGGGAATGACAAAGAGCATCAACGGTGCGATCCTTTCACATCTAGTAGATACCAGACATCAGATTAAGTTAGTTCATACGTTTTCTGTGGTATATCATGTCTCTTGCAATTTCCCTAAAGGTGCACTACTATGCATCATTCCCTCTTCTGCTGTTAATATGCCCACATTATCTCTTGCGTTTCTCTGGGCTGAATCTTTACCCATCGCTGGTAATTGCCTATGATTTTTGCCGCCCTCTCAACATATGCTACTTATATCCATTCTGATCAGCAGCGTCTATTACACAATACCACTACCAGCAGTCATTATCAACTATGATATAACAATTCACATTTGTTATTGTCAGGAGTAGTCAAAACTGAATTGGTTACTCTCCAGTGACTAGTCAATATTAATTGATATTAGAAGAGTCCTCTTCTCTGAATATCTTGTTTTTGACTAGCTAGTTAGTTTCACATTATCAATAAACAGACAAGGAAAAACAAATTAGGTGTTTTTAATAGTAATAATAATAATAATGTCCTATTGCTTGTTTTATACCGTCGTTGATTGGACCGAATTGATCGGTCTCTATTGGCATATGGAATCCTGTGCGGATGCCTCGATATACCTACGTTGTAATTATAGTAAGGATAGGTAGTGGCTAGCAGTGGAATCCAGAGTGTGCATTTCGTCCTACTTGGGACTCGTCAGCTGGACATACCTGCCTTCCAGTGAGTGATGTTGTTCCCACCGGGACTCGGTCTCGGGAGAGATCGCTTCAAACACCAGAGCGCAATCCACTACACCACCGAGCCACGATAGCCACTTCTTGTGTGATGGGTATAGTTTTAGTCCCAAATAGAACGAAATGCGCATCCTGGATTCCACTGCTAGCCACTATCCATCTTTAGTTATAATGGCTTTATTCTGAAAGATATTTCGGGAATACTCTACAGAATTTCCAGCATGTCATATAGCATCAGTTGGACAGAGGCAGTGTACATTGTGCACATAACAAAATGAAATAAATAGAAATTACATAAAGAAGATAAGAAGTTTTATTCCATCTATGGCTTTCTTGGAAATGCAGAGTTAACAGTCACATAAGCAATTAAATTCATAAAACATGTCAATAACTGCAAGCTGCATAATCTTTACTTAGTTTGCTTTCAAAAATAAAAGTTGATTAAGTGGTTCATTTCTAATACTTCCTCTGTTGCATAGGAGGCGAGCTAAATACGTACGGTATTGTAGAGCTTTTATACATAGTAGCAGTATGAGCATAAATCCTTGTATATTTGCTTTTGTCTTTCCTGACGACCAACATGTACAGAGAGTTTTGAGTGATGACAATGCTGGTCATCTGATAAAATAACTCCTGCTAGATACTTACATAAGTTAAGATGTTTGTCTACAACAGGTTTAATTAGAAAGTTTAGACGTACACCATCAGTTATGCCGAACATCTTCAAACTTCAAAGAAATGCAGCATAGTCTTTTCTCATCAACCCAGTAAAAAATAAAGGAGAACAATAGGGGAGAATAGGCATGATATAGAAGTTTATAAAACACAAGAGGAGCGACTGAATTATACTAGATACTCTCAGCTTACTAATCTAATATAAAAAGTTAGGCGGAAAAATCATTTGGAAATTAATAAGATATGAGGGAACCAGGAAAGGTCCGAAGAGAAACACACTGAGATAAATCACACTTGTAACATTCTCTAATGCACGACTATAGGACAAGAATCATAAAACCTAAGCAGTTTTCATAGATTATGTTTATTATCCAGCAGTCAGCTTTTTCGAAAGAAGAATATTGGACTGTTGTTAAGACGCTATTTATCTACTTGATGTTTGCACTGGTCATTTTCAATCATTAATTCACAGGTTCAAAAACATTATTTCCTTGACTTTTGATACAAAGGTATGTATATCAGTTAAGAGAATACTGTTTTCAGCGATATCATCTATTCTAGCTAGTCTCTGTCGTGGATTGATATCAGCTGCAGAACCGTCCTTCACTCAAAAAACTGATTAACTAATTTATTCACAAATTAGATGCAACTGTGAAAGTATTTAAACACAGAAAATTATTTTGTTTTCCTCATTATCTGCAGAGATATACCCATGCCGTTGGTGACTAGTGGTGTGGAACATGGTAATCTACGTGAACTTGTATTGGCTAGAATGGAGGAATTGGGTGCCACATGTAGAGATGTACGAACACGTGAAGTTGGCATACAAGAAATACACTCACGTGTTAAACCATATCAAGTATGACGTCTTGTTTTATTTCGTTTCTTTATGTTTGTAGTGTATTCTGTGCATTATTATTTCGATTTTATTTTGTTACTAAGAGGAGCAGAGCAACAATTAATTAATTTATACTGGACGGTATAATATTAATATCAGGAGGTAAAGTTAAGAAGGAGACAGAGTTGCGGAAGATAGGTTATTTTTGATTGGATCTTGTGTGCTAGTTGAAGCGTAGGGGCAATTGACACTTCCCGGCCGTCCACGTCGTGAAAGATGTTTCTGTAGAGTATGTGCAAGAGGTAAAGGAAAAGATTTTGCCACTACATAGGACATCTGCTTGAGGCCTGTCACACGGCCTTTCGCGGGATGTTGTTTTGAGGTTTGGTTGTTCTAACGCCGGATAGAAAAAACCTATACCTCTGTCTCCGTTATACCATGGGGTAAGAGAAGTGTGTTATTGTTGGGTCCGACCTTTTCTAACTCCTCCCCGTTCCCGTCGGGCTAGCAGCAGTACGACTTCTACCTCGGACCCCCATCATGGCGTAGCAATCTACATTATAACGGCAATTGCAACAGACCTTTCTGTTATGTTAGGACCTCGAGGGAACAAGCCTTTCAGCCAGTTTAGTTTGTTGGGTTATTAGGATTTCCAACCTCGACCACCACGTGAAGGTAGCAGTGGCGTTTGGTTATATGACTCTAAATCGATGTCAGTGGCTGAGGCGCACCTAAACATTATCTGTATTGTGATATAGAGTTTGGTTATTGATTTAGTCCTTCTTATGACTGTCTGTGACTTTTAATTACTTCCGCACTTATTCCTATGATACTTTGTATCTTGATTTGCTGATTCGAGATATAGCGACAATAGCCATCAGACAGCAATGCCAGGTCCCATGTTGATTATAGACTTACTGACGTACATCAACGACATTGTGTTCACATGATTTTTTGTGTTTTGATGGTATTTTAAACAGTTGACTTGGTTGTAGCTAGCAAAATTGAATCCAGCTTGATGCACGTTTCATTCTATATAGGAGTCACTACTCAGCTAGAGTGAGTGATACTTCCCCCACTGAAACTTGAATCTCTTATTTTAAACATAAATCTTTATATATTTACAATCTGTAGTCACCATTCTACATTCGAATTGACAAACTCACCAATCGGATTTTAATTACTTTTTATACGATTCTTTAATTTTTTTTATCTTTAAAAAATATAGGTTGAGCTTATTCGTCGAGATTATATGGCTAATGGAGGTTGGGAAACATTTCTGGCTTATGAAGATCCTTATCAGGATATATTAGTTGGTCTACTACGTTTACGAAAGTGTTCACCGCAAACATTTCGACCTGAGTTACGTGTTATGCATACTAGTGGTCAGAGTAACACAGATCCACAATGTTCTATTGTACGTGAATTGCATGTGTATGGTAGTGCTGTACCAGTATCTGCTAGAGATCCTACAAAATTTCAACATCAAGTAAGTTTTGAGTATTTGGTACAGATTATGAGAAGTTACTGGTTATTTGAATTTATATTTGATTTTATTCCTGATACATTATAATGGCGTTTTCTGCTCATAATAAGTGACAAGATTAGTTGAATATACTCTTCTGAACATAGTGAACATTTTACTTCAGTAGTTATCCAGCCATTGAACTGTTGTACTAAACTACTCAAAGTGAACTTGTTAATCACTTAACTGTGATCGATTTCAAGAAGTTTTATTTTAAATTGTAGTGACAACACTTTAACATACAACTTCGGTTATATCCTGATTGCTACTGCTTCTGCAGTCTGAAGGACTCGAAGCTGGGTACATTTCTGCAAGTTGATGGAAAATGACTCATTCATATTCATTTTATGGTTCGTTTCAACCAGGTGTGGTAATATGGAGTTGGTAATGGTCTTCACCACACCTTTAATTAGTCACGTTGAGAAGTCTTCGCGAGCACGGAAAAATAAATTCCTACAGTAGCAGCTCCACAGGAGCAGTCAAACTGATAAACACAATAGAAAGTGACCAGCCTAAGCAACTCACCTTTCAGTCTTAGTGGCATCATTGGGCATGTGGAAAACGTAATTTATAATTTTACAATTTTAAAAGTTTTGTAATTTGACCTCGTAGTTTGTGAATTAATATCTCTCTGGACATATCACCTCTGAATTCTATCATTAGCCATCATATATATATATATATATATATATATATATATATATATATATATATATATATATATATATATATAACAGGTGTGGCTCATTACCTCAACTGCATGAATTTGAACAAGATTGCTGAGTGCATTTCGATCTTCGAATATGAGCTCCTATAAAGATACCTTGATATTTGAAGCGATGTATGCTGGATTGAAGTTTCGGTGGAAACGCCATCATTCACTAAGATGCAGGCGCATCTAGCTGACGAGTCGTAAATAAAGCGAAACATACATCTTGCATTCTATTGCTAGTCGCCGGCTAGCAAATTATCTCACCTACCGTGAATTACAGTACATGTGGTCCACATTCACGTGTTGTTTTATCACTGTATGCGAATTTGAAAAATAGAAATTCCCATTAACAGAACAATCACTGAATAAATTCATTCAACTAAATTGTATGGATAAGCTTTTTATCTTGTTATTTGTTTCTTCAGCCCGCGAACAATAAAAGATATCGATGTGAAATTGGTAGGGATTATTCATTTTTCCGATCGGTTTAAATGAATCTAGGAATTATTTTGATATTTGCCAACTTGGGTCATCTGTGGCACCGGCAAGATATACGACTATCTATCAGAGGACGAGTATGCTACGCTGCCTTTCGTTTTATCCTGTTATACAACTGTGAGACATAGCTGTTGAACGTACAGGAAATGAACCGATTACAGTGTTTTAATCACAGATGTCATCGTAGCATTGGTGGAATCACCTTGTGAGCAATGTTGAGATCAGACGAAGGGTTCTAGGTAAAACAGGTAAGTCGATTGATGAGGTCGTAAGCCTTAATCGGCTGAGATACCTTCGACAGATGTTGCTCTTCCCAAACAAACACCTACCTCGATGTGCCGTGCTGGTAGAAGCTGGATTAGATTGGAAGAGGGTTGAGGGTCGCTAGAACAAGACGTGGCATCAGTCCCTGAAGTCTCTCATTGTTGGTTTGAGTCGTGGCGAGAGATGTAGACTGCTTGGCTGGGGTGCCTGAGATGAAAGGAATCAGTGGTTGAGGACTCTTTGTGAAATGTCTGGAAATCAGTGACAACAGTGCAGATGTATTCACTCCTTGACATCTAAAGCTTGAATATTTGAACTAACCGTTATCTTCAATTTGTTAATTTTCTCACACTACTTTATCTACTTTGATATCAGTCTGCTTCTATAATTCTGTTTTTTGTGTACTACTGTGAAGTATGGTAACTTGAACTGACACACCTTTGTATGGGTTCTATGTTCATTCTGTCAATCAGACAGAAATTTTCGTGCAATAACATGCAACTACGTGCCATCTATTCAAAATAAATTATTACACAGGAAAGAAGTATTAATCAGTGGTAGTTTTACAGCCATTTTATAGCTGTAGCTACACAAAAAGAAACAAAATGATCATAGATGATGAAAAAGCAGTTGATAAACGACAATAACTTCAAGAGGTTTACATTTAAACCGAAGCCATTAGGTTGTAACCACAGTTAAGATAAACAATTACTAAAGTTCTGAAGAAGAAGAACCGGAAGTGTTATTACAAAAGATTGATCTTCCTGTCTTCATCAACACAGAAACCGAACTTTTAGCCTCTAATCAATCATACCTACCGCTGCAAACTTCAGCAGGCTGAATCTCTACACTGTTTATCAATTATTGTGAATTTATTTTCCATCTCAAATTTATGGTCAGCGTCTAGTTGATTCTCGCACTAGTGTAGGTTTCCGCGTATATATGTTCAGCGGAACGTACTTAGGTTTGTAGTTTAGTCCTCCCAATTTATTTTCTTTGGCATGCGCATATCACTAGTATTAACCACAGTTTGAGGTATCATAGAGTCAGGTTTCAATCAATTTTAGTCTGCTCTACTGAATAATGTTTCTGCTATGAAGATATTAGCTCTGTTGTTAGGAAAAATACACTAACTGCCGATCAATACCTTCCGTGAATTTTCTCATGTGTCTGATTATTCTTGAAATCCATTTAGATAAGTACATGTTTCCTTTCAGATTTATTGATTGCCGACCTTCTGTACACGCTTCCTTTCCATCCTTTCTTACGAACTTTTTGAGATGGCTATTTTCCTGTACACATTTTCTGATTGTATGTTACTCTTCTTCTAAATTTTCCTCATGAGCACAGTTTTCTAGCTTTGCCATGGAGTGTTTTTTACTAGACTTTGATTCTAGGTTATTGAACAAATGTTGAGTGACTTCCAGTTCTAGTCATCGTTTCGATAAATGAACCTTCGACATCTGTCACTTTATTGTCAAATCCTTAAGTCTGAGTATCATTAAATTCGTACACTACTATGATTACAATGTTACGATGAGTGTTAACCAGATATATAATAATTTTCTTGTTATTTTCTTCTGTCTGTTCACTCTGATTTCTCTTGATTAATTTCGTGGCTCATTAGTTTACAGAGTTCATTTTTAACTAGTGTGTCGCATATTCTACCTTTAGAATACAATAAGTATAGTTCATTGTCTACTCCACGAATATGCACAACACTGCTGAAGTGGATTTCAATTTCCATGTTTTTTCATTGTTTTTTTCGCATATTTTTTTAGGGTTTTGGAACTTTACTAATGGAAGAAGCTGAGCGTATAGCTAAATATGAACATGGATCACTGAAGATAGCAGTTATATCTGGTGTAGGCACTAGAAATTACTACCGAAAGTTGGGCTATGAACTTGAGGGCCCATATATGGTTAAGCCTTTATAGTTCATACAATAATAACAAAAGTATCTTTCCCTGTAAATTTTTTCGAAATAACTATTTCTGTATCACTTTTCTCAATTTATTTATGTTAATATCAAATAAAAAACATTGAAAAATTGTCTTTTTCAATGAGTAAAATCTTTGCAGTTGACTTTTCAAGTTCATTAAAATCAGAACTGTAAAGGTTTTTCCGCTCTGGATAAGATTAACTATTAAACAGTGAACAGAGAAGATTTTTGTGAACTCGTCCAATTACTGTGGGACTCATCAGTTGAACACTCAAAATAAATTGTAATTTATGTAAAGTTTACAACCGTATATATTGAATCCGCATTTTTTCATGAAAGCAAATACACTGAGCCTGAATGCTAAGAAGCCTGTCAACTTATATTCTAGAATATTGTCCTGAAGGGGTACCAATTTTACCTAAAGCCACCTCCAGACGTTTGATCATATGCTATCTGTTATATTTTCTATTCATGACACATGTATTAGTCCTAGCGTAACCAATGAATAGAGTAATAAAAGAATACTTGGGTCTGTGGTGATTTATGCCATTGTGTTATGCAAACTGGATTTTTGGGCATATGAAATAGTTTTTGAGTCCTAAGCTTCCATAAGTGATTGTTTTTCATTTTCGTACCAAACTTTATTTAACCGATAGACTGTAGTTGATGTTTTGAATTATACTGCCTATAATCATGTTCTCATTTTCTCATACATTCAACAATCTCTGAAGTTCGCTATTTTAGCATATTGCCCTACTGTTTCAATAGTATTTTACCACTGTCTGTATTGACTCTACGTAACCCTTCAAAGCCAACTTTCTTGGCATCATATTACTTTTCCAGAAATTATGTATCATTTTCACAGTTAAAAATAATTTTTTTTCTCTTACTTTGTTCTTGTATGTATGTAAACTTTGAAATTTCGTGTATTTAGAGGATTCATTTGATAAGTCGTATTGACTATTCAGTGAATTCTTCTTCTGAAATTTGCTGTCTTGCTTTTAATTCAACATTGGCTAAAAGCATTAAACTGTTCGCTGGCAATGATTTCCGATGGGAGTATTCGGAGAAGTGGGTGTTCAAATAATTTCACCTTGCGAAAGATGTGTTGTTTACATCTGTATGTATTATCTTGTTTATTGGCACTACTTTTTAACCTAATAAATACGTGAGTGAGTAAAGGGGAATTGATATTCCTGCATTCTTGACAGATTCTTTCTCAGTATGTAGTATTTTCATGGTTCTTTTCGGAAACATGATAGCCTAAATTGTGTTCAGCGACTGTCTAGTTTATTTTTGTTAATACTTAAACATGAATGTATATATGTGTCCGATGGAGTGTACATATCTATGAGGACAATTATCTGTTTCTTCGATGATAAAGATCGAGGCAGTTGTCAATAAGTTTTCATTTCCGCCGTATGAAATCTAAATAAAACTACCGTGAATTCTATATAAGGTTCAAGATATCTACGGTGCTTTAGGACTCACTTTTCGATGCAAATACAAACTGAGATCGAACTACACCTTTCATTCAAGGAAATTAGTGTATGCCGTTCAACATTCTGAATCAAATAAACGTACACCACCAGTCTAAGCTGTGTTCACGTTTAAAGATCGTCATATTTCAGTCAGAGTATTAATGGCCTTCATATCTGGATATTCAAAGAACTCTTAACGTGCATGAGGCAAACACCGTATTCGTCATAGTAGCGTGTGATGGTAGACCCCAAAGAGTATCTTGATGTCGATGACAGCCTCTTGGGAAGCGTAAAGTCTAACGTTTTTGCTTAGATCTAGCTAGAAAACCATGGCACCGACACCGCAATAGTTCAAGGGTGGGTGTGTTCTATTTTTGAGGATGACTTTAACTACCCCAGCTATCTCTTGGAGAAGACAACAACGGCACAGAACTACTGGTCATCTGTGTGAAACACCTTACTATTGTCACAACCTTATCTAGCAGCGGTGTAACGTCCTCCCCCCCCCTTATTATAGCGAATTCATTGGCATTGATCGTAATTGCTTTTTATCTTAACATTATCCAAAAAAACTTTTTCATATGATAGGACCTGAAGAAATAAACATCCTCACCAGCATAGCTCGTCAGGTTATTGTAATGGACAAAGCCAGCCGTCAACTTCAAGGCAGCAGTTATCAGTCGAGATACTGATTCTCCCAATTTTCAAGAAAAGAGAGAAATCCTGCTGTGATAACTTGAGAATTCAGTCTAACGAACACATTGACTGGGATCCGAGATTCTATAATTATCAGATTCCTGAGTGTTACTCCGGAACAACAAGTAGGACAGTTCTCAAACTGCATCGGTGGTGTATCGATCAGATATTCTCTCCTTTTCAGGTTCTAGGACATAGGCACACTTACGGGTGTACAACTAGCTAAATTTAATTTTAAGACGGTATTTGACTCCATCGGTCGAGAAGTCTTATGATAGTGTCACAATGGAAGAGGTTCCGCTTAAATTCATCATTCAGTTGAAGGCTATGCAAGCGAACACTCGTGGATGTGTTAGAATCTGTTGTGAGTTTTGTACTTCGAATAGTGATGGTCAAAGATGTCCTCTCTTCGTTCTTATGTGACTTGGTCACTGACATTCTTATGAAATTATCCTTCTGATTTGAAGATACTGGAATTGACCTTGTCATAAAGAGACACCTTAGTACACTCAGAGTATTTTGATGACATATTCCTGTTGAGTGACGTTGATTCCTGCTGTGTCCATCGGAACAGATTCGTGAGACCTATTCTAGCCTTCGTTTCCTGTGCTGAACGTCTAACAACTCACCACGGTCGATTTGATTTCGCTGGCAAATAAAGTCAGGATTAGAAACTCGTACTTTTCTCAGCAAAAGTGCAAGCCATTCCTGAAGGGGCAGTTTTCATTTCCAACGTGTGAAATTCTAAACAGCATCAGACCACCACTCGATACATTCAGTGAACTGTTCCCGTTATTACTGCCTTCATCTCGCAGAACTGTGGTCTGTGCACTCTAACTGTAAGGGGAATATTGCATAGAGATATCCGACCTCTGAAACCAGGAGAACAAAATTCATGGAGTATCAGCTTTCTTTTTACCGTTTAGCTGTACCTATGTATATCAATGGTAACTTCCTATTATTCAGTAACCGCTTCTTGCCGTTCTCAGTGTTCAGTTATTAAACATCGGATTGTAGTGAATTATGAGTATGTATTGCATAGGCTACAGTTACAAATGAAACCAAAATATTCATCCCATATGTCAGTTTTTTAGTCTTCCATCTTTGCTTATATTCATTCATAAAGTGCATTCTAACTGTTTGGAACAGGATCTGAAGTAAAGGTTTTCGATATTGCTGATGACTGACCAGTTTGTAAACAGTAATTATGAAAGTCCAGTCTGAAGATTTCAGTGTTTCAAACTGTATTATACACCAGACAGAAACACTTTGTTTCTTTCACTGTGGGATACTCATTGACTAATCACATCCTTTTCCTCAAAGTAACAAATCCTCGTACTATTATAAATGCGAGTTCGCTTACTTCAATTAAAGCTTGTCTGGTATCGAATTCGCTAGTTTCACCCATTAATTTCATGTTTACATTAAGAAGCCTGATCTGATACCACCGTGTCTGGGAATTTCGGGGCGAAATTACTGCTAGGAAAGCTTCCTAGGTTGGTATGAGGTCGTCTTTCCCGATTGCTGTCACTAGTCTAAAGGAGTGGGATGTGTTTACCAACTTCATAGAGACGGTTGTCGACTCCGAAATGCAAACTGTCCCAGCAGTCCTTGGAGTCGTATTTGACGCTTCTGATAGACTTCCTGATCTAGGGTATGTACCACCAAATGTATGTCATAAATGTTATACCGTTGCCATCCTTTTTTCTACCGATAAGTTACCGCTGTGCCTTCTTGGTGTCATCTGATAATGTTTTTGACTACCTACTACTGCGCTATCATAAGAAATGTGTCAACTTGCAGTGTAAATATTCAAAGACTGAAAAGGTTAGCATCTTCCTGGATATGAGCTATGTCAAGTTTACGAAAGTTCGGTCTTTTGCGATAAAGCCCACAGATTGGGCTAAGTCCCTAGTTTCTTTCTCAAGGGCAGCCATCTATTTCTTGGGTAAAATCTTCCTTCCGTTATATTGCAGTTTCATTTCAATGATATAGACATTTATGAGTGCTGAGAACTTCCTCTTCATGAATTATTTTCGGTGGAGTCTATGAAGTATAGCCTTTGTCCAGAAGCATAAAACTTCATTCCTAGCCGCATGAGAGTATGTTTTTACGAACGCAGCATGAATGCTTTGTTATATGCTTAGGAACTAGTTAACCAAATTATGTGAATAAATGTTTCTATTGTGTTACCACGGTGGCATCTAAGTCACTACATGAAAAAATATCCCATAGGATCTATACAATGTATCCCCCCGGTAAAACGATATTATAAGAGGCCAATAAAGCAGGTAGATCCTTTCGTTCTAAAAACACATGACTTTCACTGCTTAGTGTGAAAAGAAGAACTAACCGGTTAGGCTGCTTTAAAGTTACATGATATGACATTATTTTCAGGTTTTCGGAATCGAATTACTTATTCAGCCATCCACAGCACAGGTCTTTAAACACACTAACAGTAACAATGTAATGTCAAAAAGCCCACCATAAATGAAGAAATATGGTCACGATAACGCCTGAAAAACAACGCAGACTTTCTTTTACCGCTTCAAACCTGGTGTTGTAGAATTAGTGAACGGCGGTTCCTAGGGTTCTACGTCCGCCTTATTGAAATACGATCTGGGTTTGGAATGGTCACAATTATCTTTCTCGTTCCGAAAAACTTGAATGGATAGAGATAAACGATTATTAATTAGTCTGGTCTCGAGGTAGTATTACTGCACCTGATCTGCAGATGACGGAAAGCTTCTTAAGTAAAGCACATCGATGCCGTAGGACTCGAGGTGTGCGTCTAACCTTGTCCTAAAAGTATCAGGGGATGGGGCTGTCACAACTGCTGAAGGGAGGGAGTTCCACAGTTTACAGACTCTAACCGCAAATGAGTCAGCACGGATCTTTGTACGTGCTCTATTCTTAACGGGTGACCCCTCAGGTCACGTTTCCGAGTAAAGCTTAGAGGGGATCTGTTAGGATGGAGACGATTATGGGCAGTGTGGTACATCGTGATCACAACCCCTCTGATCCTCTGGTATTGTACTGGGTGCAGCTTAAGAGCAACTAAGTGGTCTGGGTGAGGTTTGTGCCGTAACCCAACCACTTTCTTTGTAGCTCTTCTCTGTACCCGTTCTAGGATGGATATGTCCTTCTTCAAGTTTGGGGACATCACAAGCGAATTTTTCTCGAGGTGAGGGAGAATGTACAGAGCACACACTGTGGTGAGAAGAGGAGTTAGACACCCTAAAGTTCGCGAGAGAGACCTCAAGAATCCATATACCTTGTTGGCTGCAAGGTGGCAGTGGACTGAGGCTCCTGGTGTGTCACTTAGTGTAACTCCCAGATCTTACTCCATGTTAGAGTGACAGATATTCATTTCACCCAGAGAGTAAGAACTGGGACTGCTCCTATGTTTGTCAACTATCATTATCCGACACTTCTTCGAGTTGAGAGGAAGCAGATTTTCTGTAGTCTAATCAAGAATTCTCGTAAAGTCCTCCTGGAAGACCGAAATATCCGTTAGAACCTGCACTTCCCTCCAAATCTTTAGATTATCGGCATATAATGGTGAATGAGAATCAAGGGATCCTGGTAGGTCACTGATAAAAGCAAGAAACAGCAATGGGCCCAGTATAGAACCTTGAGGCACGCCACTCAGCATCGGCAACCAGTTGGAGAGAGATAAGCCAACTCTGACTGACTGCAAACTGGTGTAAAGATAATGTCTAAGTCAAGTTGATGATTTTGCTTGTATACCCATGAGCTGAAGTTTCTGACATAGGACATCATGATTTACCCTATCAAAGGCCTTGGAAAATTCAAGTAAACCAATTTGAATAGGCTTTTTCTGCTCAACAGAGAGAGTCCAGCTATTCCAAGCTATCAACAAATTGGTGTTACATGATCTTCCAGGTAAAAAGCAATGTTGAAAGTCGTTTAAAATTGACTTCTTAAGTAATTGATCACGAAACGAGTCATTTATGACTTTCTCCATGACTTCCGCAACTGAAGAGGTCAGAGAGATTGCTCTGCGGTTGGAGGCAAGTAGTTTTTTTCCACCTTTATAAATTGGGATGACAGCCACCCATTTCCAGTCAGAGGGTGACCTGGATTCCAGAAACCAGCATTTGAAGAGGTTTGCTAGTGGGGCACACAGAACTTCAGCACACTTTGAGTAGTCTTGGGTGAATTCCATCAATTACTGGAGACTTATTCGGGTTCAGATTCTTCAGTATTACCATAATTATAGAGGGTTCAAACTCTATATGGTTTAGCCCCTCTGTAATACGTGTCCGACAGATGCGTGGTTTTACCTCCCAAATGACAGAAGTTGTTTTGGAATTTATGAGCCTCGGAGTTAGAACGGAGAACCTCTAGACTACTGGGGTCCTGCAAACTTTGAACTTTCTCAAAATCAGTTCTCCTGTAATTCCTGACTAGTGGCTGATCGCGAGCGGGTGGCTTAGACATAAAAATATTGAAGGAAATAAGTGCACGGTCACTCAACTCAAGAGGGCTGAGAACATCCAAGTTGGTTACCCCAATGGACTGATTTGTGAAAATATAATCTAGTCCGGAGGCCCCAACGTAAAACACCCAGCGAGTGCACTGGGAGACATGTTTGGTCAAGGAGTTTTCCAGTAATAATTCCCGAAAGTCTTTAAGAGCAGTCGGTGGACTTTCCGTGGTAAAGAGTTGAGGAAAGTTAAAATCTTCCATGATGAGGACTTGTGGGAGGTTCAGTTCCAGGGCTCCTCTGATGGACCGTATTAACATTTTATCTAACTTGGCATCAACTGCAGGAGTGCGGTATAAGACTTCAACTAAAGACAGACCTCCTCAACACTTAATGCTATACCAAAGGACATCTTTAATGCCAATTCCATGAGATTGAATCTCATGGACGTTTGGGGAAGAACAGGTGTATAGAGTAACGCCACCTCCTGGACACTCCGGTCTGTCCTTTCGGATCAGGCTGAGCTGTCCAAAACGGACTTCCTCGTCTTCTATGTTCCCTGATAGCCATGTTCACAGAAAGCCAGTATACTAGGGCTATCCTCATCAACTAATAACCTTAACTCAGGTACCATGGAGTGCAGGCCGCGTTCACTACTATAGGACCAGCGAGCAAGAGTATGTTTGTCGGAGGTCCCAGAAACGGGTTGAGATAAGGGTGCGTTGCCAGCCTTTAAATGGCCGGCTTTGATAAGTTTTTTGGTAGGGCGGTGGAACCAAGGGTTACTAGATCCACTGGTCTCTGACTGAGAACTGGTTCAGGGTTCTTCGATCTGGGACAAGGTCGACAAAAACTCTCACTCATCGTCCAACCGTTCTATCGTTAGATGAGTGTTGGCCAACGGTGAGCACTAGAATCGCCTCCCAGTCGGCCTTTGATCCCTGGGTCTGCACTCACTTATCTTGTGAGAAACATCACACCAGGATTCCAAGGTAGTCCTGACCATGTCCGGATAGTCAGGGGTTACTTGGAGTAGCCAGGGAATACGAATGGTAGAGAGGTGAGCCGGCCTTGGAAGACGATTATTCATTTCGGCCCTCACATCGATTCGGAGTTTGCTGACAATATATTTCCACCGATTTATGCCGTGGATAAGTTCGGCAGCATCGGCGCCTGAACATTCAGGAATCCCGCGCACAATTACCGAGCAGCATAATTCTTGAGAGTGAATCTCCTTGCTGTTGCGACGAAGTTGTCGCACTGACCAGGGCCTATCAGGCCTGATCCTGACGTCGGACATTTTACGTTTCACCAACTGATGACCTTTTAGAAGGAAGTGTTCGGACTGGCGTGTACTATCGAGACACACTCTTAGAGGTCTAGGAGAGCCTCCGGGGGAGAACTCACTGCGTGCTGGACGTTGAAGGGGTGGACTGCAGGGTGAGGTTCCTGGGAGTTTGCAAACACTCTTCCACTGGTCAAGGTCACGTCCTTCACGATCAGTCAGTGGGGAGGGGCCACCTCCGTGAACGTTGAAGAGTACGAGCAATCTAAGATTAAGGTTGTGGTCTGCTTTTTGGAGCCTATTCCAACCTGTGAATACAGACTGAGGTTTCTGATGAGCCTTTTGTGGGTGACTCTGAAGACCTGAGGTGCCAGCTGTGGGAGTTTTCCTGATGATTGAACGAGGCTGGTGGTGAAATGCAGGTGGCTTCCACCATGAGTAGCAGGTGGTGGGATCAAGATCTGCTTTTTTCAGAACGCTTTTTACCTGAGCAGGAGGGGAAATGTTCAGCTTATGGTTCAGCTCCTCATTAGGCTGAGTGGTCGTTAGATTGTCGATCTTACGATCGTTACCTGATGTTCCATTTTTAACTGATGTGACCCGCCTACATTTCTTCAGATCCTTCTTTAGGCGCCTATCACGTTAAAGTTTTAGGATTTGTCCTGGTACGAACTTGACAGATGCAAAGACCAATCACTAATTATTCGGACTTGTTATATACCCACGAATGCGAGACCAAGGTAGAACACGATAGCGTAGTCGGATGGAATAGCATATTTGGATGGTTGTGCCAAGGTACCGATGCGTTCCAACTAACTGGCTAGAGAGTCGAATACGAGCAGTGCAACGTAACACGACAGCGTGCCAAATGGTGAGGATGCTTGACCGGGTGCCTTGAGCTTAGCGAGTCCAGTTAAACTATTGAGGTCATCATGAATGTCGAAAGTCGTCGAACCCTAGGTCATCGACTTCGGGGAAGTGTGTGACGCTACAAATCACTCCACCCTAGTGGGTCCGTGAAGCCCTAAGACGATACCAGCCGGAAGTAAAAACCCAGTGGTTTCTTCACTGGTGAAACTCCCCCGACGGGCTCACTGCTTGAAGTGGCCCCTGATTGTCTGAACTTATTCTAGGGTGTAGTGGCAATTAAGAAATTAATAAAATACAATAAATCGAATTGTACGTTGATCGCGGTCCTCAGTTTCCTTGGACATTCCGTCCAGTGTTCGTTGCACCTGGAATGTAAATAAAAGTCTTCAATACCACGAAAACGTTTCGTAAAAATAAGAATTATTTATATATAAGCATATCGAAAAATAAAAATTTACGCTTATTTTCACCGTTTTTTTTAAATTTTCATTACATTGTAGTAAAATGTGGTATAAAAAGGTAAAGTGTACGACAGCTTGCACATTGCCGGTAAATAAGAAAAATAGTGCCTCGGAAAAAGAATTTTAAGCAAAAAAAATATGGTTGGCACGTTTCATTTCACACCGCTAAGTTGAATACGACTTCAAATACTCCGGGAACCTGACGGTTCGACCTGATCGTGTTTTCTGCTGAGCCGATGGTTGTTGCAACTGTGCATTACCATGGACATCGTCAAGAATTTCGATAATTGAGCTATCCGTCGGTCGGCTGTAGCGAGCTGAAACGTCACTTGTAACGGGGTTGTCTTCCAAATGAGCTGGTTTCAAACGGTCGATACTGACAGTATCTTCACGTCCGTCTCGCTCAATTATGTAGAATTTCTCGCGTCACTTGATCACTTTGAATGGCCCGTCGTAGGGTGGTTCAAGTGGTCGACGAACGGCTTTGTGGCGAATAAACACGTGTGATGTCTTTTGTAAACTGGGGTGAACGAAAACATCAGTCGTTTGAGGTCTAATCGGAGAAGGCCTAACTGAACGCATTGCGTTTGTAAGCCTAGTCACGTAAGATGCCCTGTCGGAAACATGTTTGAAAGTTGAAGGGGAAACAAACTCACCTGGTAGGCGAAGAGTGGTCCCATAGACGAGTTCTGCAGGAGTGCATCCAGCATCAACTTTCAACGCGTTACGAATACCTAGTAGGACTAGAGGCAGAGCCTCGGTCCACTGAGGTATGTTTGCAGCTGAAAGGGAAGCTTTCAGCTGTCGATGGAAACGCTCTACCATGCCATTTGCTTGTGGATGGTAGGCTGTCGTTCGGAACCGAGTGCAACCTAAAAGTGCCGTTAGAGCGTGAAATAATCCACACTCAAATTGGCGCCCACGGTCGGTTGTGACGTAAGATGGACATCCGATCCATCTTTCGACGAAAACACGAGCAACTGTTTCGGCAGTAATATCCTTAATAGGTACTGCTTCCGGCCATCGTGTGAAACGATCAACACAGTGAAAAGGTAGGTACATCCATTAGATTCTGGTAGGGGTCCTACAATATCTATATGGACGTGGTCGAAACGCATGTCTGGGGCTAGAAATGAGCCTAAAGGGCTTTTCGTGTGTCGCGTGACTTTACACTTTTGACAAGCTAAGCACGACTGGGCCCACTCCTTAACGTCTTTGTTCATCCCAGGCCAGCAGAAACGTTGTGCGATAAGCCTAATGGTGGCTCGTACACCTGGATGAGAGAGTTTGTGCAACGTATTGAAGACGTTGCGTCGACAACTCTTCGGAACTATTGGGCGTGGTTGACTAGCAGAGACATCGCACAAAATTGCATCCTTGTCTGATCCAACAGGACAAAGTCGCAGTTTGAGAGTTGTGGACGACAACTCATGATGCAGCTCAAGGTCTTCCTTTTGACGCCGAGCTAGTTCAACGAGATCAATACCCTCGATATAGTTTATCGAAGCTATTCGAGATAGTGCGTCGGCTGCGGAGTTGTTTGCTCCAGAAATGTGGCGGATGTCTGACGTGAACTGGGAAATGTAATCCAGCTGTCGCGACTCACGAGGGGAGTATTTGTCAGACGCCGAGCTGAGGGAAAACGTTAACGGTTTGTGGTCTGTGAAAATAATGAAATCACGACCTTCCACAGAATGTCGAAAATGGCGTACAGAACAGTACATGGCTAGGAGTTCCCTACCAAATGTACTGTATCTTGTTTCCGCGTCTTGCAGCCGCCTCGAGAAAAAGGCTAACGGTTGCCACTGGTTGTCAGTCAACTGTTGCAAAACTGCTCCAATTGCTGAATCAGATGCATCAACAGCAATACTCAGAGGAGCATTGGGGTCATGATGCATAAGCATGGTTGCGTTCGAAATGGCTTCCTTGACTTTGAGAAAGCAAGTCTAGCCGCGTTGTCCAGAGACACGAACTTCGCAGTTCCTCGAAGTAGATCTGTGAGTGGTCTCATGACAGAGGCACAGTTAGGGATAAACCTTCGGTAATAACTTACCAGGCCATTGAAAGTGCGGAGATGTTTCACAGTGGTCGGCTCTGGATAGTTTGTGATAGCCGCCACTTTATCTCTCAATGGGCGTATACCTTTGTTGTCAATGGTATGCCCAAGGAAGCTGAGTGATTCAACTCCTATTTCACACTTCTGTAAGTTAACTGTGATGCCATGTTTTTTGAGTCTTTCGAATGCGAGGTCCAAATGTTTAAGGTGAGTTTCCTTATCTGGACTCGCAATTAGACAGTCATCGATGTAGACATGAACAAAATTCAGACCACGGAAGACGTCGTCCATAAAGCGTTGGAATGTTTGTGCTGCATTCCGAAGACCAAAAGGCATGCGCAGGAATTCAAACAGGCCAAAAGGAGTAATAATGGCTGTTTTCGCGATATCTTCTGCTGCCATAGGTATCTGGTTGTACGCTTTGACCAAGTCGATTTTCGAGAAAATGTTCATGCCGCATAAGGTTGCAGTCAAGTCGTAAACGTGAGGTATAGGGTAGCAGTCCGGAGTTGTTTTGGCGTTAAGCCTTCGGTAATCACCGGTCGGACGCCAGTCGTTGCTATCCTTTCTGGAAACCATGTGCAATGGCGATGCCCAAGGGCTGTTTGATGGTGGGCATAGATACGTCAGCCAGGAAGAAAATTCAGTGGATAGGTTTACGTAAACCCAAGTTGAGGTAGGCATACTGTCTCCCGAATGTCGCGATTGCCTTGCCGTTGGCTGCTTGGAGATTGAAGAACGGGTCATGATGGCGCTCCTTTGTCGGTGCGGGAAGACCGCCAACTTCTGCGCCGGTGTCGACGAGGTAGCGAACTTTCGCTTTTTATGTCGGTGACGTAGAGCAAACGGCTGTTCCCGCCGGCTACGGTTGCCATGAGCACGTGCCGGCATGACCGTTTCCCGAGTTTGTGTGCTTGTTAAAACTGTATGGTTTCCGACATTGTCTGGCTTCGTCTCCATAAATATTGTGAAACCAGCACCATTTAGGGTTTTCCACCCTGTTAGGTTTAGTTTTGGGGCAACCGAGCGAGTTGCTGTGATGCACTAAGACGCGTTTCTGTGGAGTTCTACGTGAAGTAGGACTTCGAGATCGTAGCAACTGTTTAACAGAGTTGCACAGCTTGGTCACCTCCGAATCCTGGTGCTCTGGTTTGTCGCAAACAGAATATGCGTTGGAGATGGGTCTGCTAGAAATCCCCAGTATTGTATCTGCCGAGGCCTCCAGGTCATCCGGTGGGACTGACTGCAGTGTCACCAACATGGTTTGCATCGGTTGTGGTAGTTTTGGAAGAAATAGTTCTCGGAAAAGGCTGTTGTCGAATGTTCGTACACCGATTACTTCTCGCATGCATGCGAGGACTTCATTAGTTGAGTGGCTGCCTAGCTCGATGTTACGAAGTAATTCGTCTAGGCCCTGGCGATCCGTCAGATCGCTTTTCTTCAAGAGTGCGGCCTTAAGAAGTGCATAACGATCACTTACCTCAGGATTAAACATGTGTGCTGTAAAATACCTGTTTAATTCTCGCGGTAGTGACCGTATGACAGCAAGAAATCGAGAATGAGGATCTGAGACTCCCTGTTCTCGAAAATCCGCTTCGGCATACAGGAACCATGTTTCTGCATTGTCTGGCCAATATGGCACGAGTTGGATCGTGTTCGTAGTCGGCTTAATACGAATAAGCTTGGGAGTGTGGTCGGACATGAGAAAGTGTAGTAAATGGATGTATAAATGTTATCGAAATGAAAACAATATACAAATATAAAGTGGAACAGGCTCACCAATTCAATATCTGTTATTAGTCGAGATATATGATCACGTCGGGCTCACCAATTTAGGATTTGTCCTGGTGCGAACTTGACAGATGCAAAGACCAATCACTAATTATTCGGACTTGTTATATGCCCACGAGTACGAGACCATGGGAGAACACGAATGCGCAATCGGAAGGAATAGTATATTTGGATGGTTGTGCCAAGATACCGATGCGTTCCAACTAACTGGCTAGAGAGTCGAATACGAGCAGTGCAACGTAACACGACAGCGTGCCAAATGGTGAGGATGCTTGACCGGGTGCCTTGAGCTTAGCGAGTCCAGTTAAACTATTGAGGTCATCATGAATGTCGAAAGTCGTCGAACCCTAGGCTATTGATTTTGGGGTAGTGTGTGTCGCTACGGGGTTTAGGTTCTTCACTGAGGTGATCTGCTCCGAAGGCATGCTAACGGAAAGACAGTCCGTGGCTGTGATGAGTTCGCTACTTCCCTTACTGCCAACTTGAAGCGTCTTTGTATGGCCATAAAACTTCTTCATGTTGAGGCTGGTTTGTGTGGAGATCTCAGCTGCAAGGTGGTCGGAGTTCTGTCTCATTAGCTCTAGGCCTATTGGGTACTTACTTTTATACCCACAACATGGACAAAAATATCAGTCACCATCAAAAGGGCTATTAAGCAGTGCTTCATAATAACCAGATGGCTGGCTGGAACCACGGAAGCAGTGAGTCCATTGAGAGCAAAGCTCACAACCGATAACCTTGGCTGAGAAGCTGACATTTTTGTGACAAACCATGCATATGCCTTTTGAAACTGTCATTAGACTGAGTAAAGGGTCGAAAAATGTTTGTTTAAGGAGTTCTGAACCTCAGCACAGCAAATATAACAAACTAGTCAAAACTTGTCAAACCACAGTGTCATTTTTAAAAGATAAGATATTGGGTACTGTTATTAAAGTGACTTTTCATGAGTCCAGGGGTGAGCTAACCAACTGATGTAGTGGGAGTCGAACGCCATATGTATTCCTACTGCATTTTACAAAAGAAGGTTGAATGATCACCAACAAATTTGGGGTGCAGGTGGGGTTGGACTCAAGAAGCCTCCTGTCATCGTGCAAAATAGTACTACTTCGGACAAAATGGCCAATTAATTTTAATTGGATGTTTCTGCTCTTTTGGTTTTTTCCAGACACCTCAGAAAAAGTATGTATTTCCCTAAGGCAAGCGCAGAAACCAAGAAACGAGTGACCTCTGAGTCTTCATGAAGTTTTTTCGGAACTGTTTATGAGAATCTAACAGAATAGAAAATACGTATCTGATATCCAATTCCTACACTGTGGAAAGTGGACTAGAGAAGTTACCAGTTCATTACTTTCACCAAATTAGGTTTTGATCAATTTATTTGTTCACGCAAACGCTTTAATTCTTAGCTGCACTTGTAGTCGTGCACTTTTTAATTTCGAACTTCTTTTAAATTTGTGGATATTTTAGGAATATCAGTACAAATGAAAGCAACTAAATCTCTCACTTATGCAGTAAAAAATACTCTTGTTTCCCCAACTTTGCTTCTACGTAGTTACTCAAACCCATCGCCTAGTCTTTGTAGATGTGGGTCGTGTGCTCATGAAGACGTTTATATAAATATTTTACCTGATGTATTGTTTACTGCTAAACCTGGGAGACTAGCAGCTGCTATTAACAATTTAATTGAATCTATTTGTGAGCAACATATTAGTTGCTGTAGTTCAGTGTATTATACTGACAACAGAATGAGTCGGATAATTTCTCAAACAACTGATGAACAGTGCTGGTGGAAAGACTTAGTTGTAAGTCGCATCATTTTTTCCGTGGTCTCATGACACTTTAAATTTCAAGCAGTTATTTTAAGAGATATAACAGAGACGTATATGTAGCTGCCCCTTCTGCTTCCTAAGTAGTGTCAAAACAGACAGTCTGCTTTGACATTTATAGTAGTTATCCTGCAAAAATCCTTTTTATACTGACCAGTAACCGGTTAGAAAGTTTTTTTTAATGGCGTACGTGTTTGCTAATCCTCGTAGGTGTGATGAGGACTCCGAAACCCTACCTGGCCACCATCTTAATAGAGTTGAAACGCAGAACCATAGAGCCTAATTTCATTGAGAACGATGCACTTTCCCAAGAACCATCCATTTCGTTCGTTAACTCAATCAGCCCATTTCTGGGTAGTATTTTTTTACTCTGCCAAGTACTGATACAAATGCAAGGAAAACGAGAATACATAGATCGCAGAGCCTGACTGCTTTCTGTTGAGTTGATGACAATGGACGAGAATAATGTAGTTGGCGCGATGCTTGGGCTCACAGCAGCACGCAATGCACTCTTGGGCATACTAGCTCCTGTCATGTGTGTGAAAGTAGTCAGGATTCTCCGAGAAATATTCCACTCGGTGAGTTGCGGAACCAGAAATGCGAGTCCTTCAATCGTGTGTTAAACATGCAAAAAGGCTCAGACTAATGGTGTTAGTTGTTAGGATATCTTTTCTTGAAAAGAATAGTACATACGAATCTTAACAATGCGGTGGTTTTCTACTTGTTTTGCGTGTATATTAGGATTGCAGACCAGAAAAATGTGAAGAGTGAGTGGGTAAGAGTGATAAAAGGTTATGGTTGTTAGGTGTAAAGCTCAAATAAATGCCGCTAATAATCAGTTTATCGCAAGCTACTACTCCACTTCCAGCAAGCTTTTCGTTTAGGACGGGTGAAAGTAGCTAGGGCGTCGTGCTATTTCGAGCTGCAGAAGAAAGGTGACTCCAAATAACACGATATTTTACAGTAAAGAAGTATAGTCTGTATTTTATACGGCAACGAAATATTTTCAGAGCAGAAACTTAGTGGCTAAGTTTATATCTTGTGGGTGAGTTGAACATGATGCCATTGTCGAGGAGGTATATAAGCCTATTAACTACGCAGTAAATGACATTTAGGTTGAGTTTTAGTCTCCTGAACCACCGTGATTCAAATTGAAGCATATTACATCTTTCATGGTGGGAAATTTTTGGGATTCTTATCCACTTATCTTTGGTAAATCTTCTCTGCACACTTAAACTTTACTCCTGTCTTCACTGAAAACACTGTGTATGATAGGGGGACAAAGTGTTAGCAGTGAACTGATCCATGATTTATACATCAGGATCTTGGGTTGTAGTGTCCCGAATTTTCGAAATGTGCATCCAATAAGCTTCCCAACTTTGGGGTTTTGCCAATCGATATAAACCGTAGAGCTGAAATCCGCTGTGTATTTCAAATCGACATCTAAAGTGTATGGTGGGTAGGCATGTTTGGAAGACAACATTCCGCATTTATCAGCATTGGTCTTCATTTCGCATTTTTCACAGTAATTTCAGACAAGCTTAGTGATAATAGTGGCGAGAGTTAATTGATAGTAGAATTAACTGGCACTATATTTCCATCGCATCTGCCATTACCTAAAATTCGACGCAACCACTTACACAGCTGATAATCTTATTAGTTTCCAGTCTTACCTGCACCCAACAAAACGTTATTTGACGTCGCATCTAATTGCAGTGGCTTGCTCCTACCACATAAACCCACATTTGTAGGTATGTGGTATAACATGCGTCTATATCCGTCCAAATTGACATACTCCACAGTACTATACAAAGAACAGGTGGATAAAAATGAAGAGGTATCAAATTATACCAAGTTGTATGATGGACTAAACAGTTTGACTGTTAGTCAAAATATTCAAGCTTTAGAAGATGTCAAAGAGTGAGTACATGTGCTCCATTGTGACCGATTTTTAACCATTTCACCAAGGATTCTCTCTGATAAGATCAATCTGTGTCCATCATTCATCCATCCAAATCAACATGGTACCAGGCATTACTGGGTAGCGGTCCGAGTTACCACAGCTCATATCAGTACATCAAGTGAAAAGGCAGTGAAGTGGAAGATGAAGGGAAAAAATTCAGTAAAAAGAAAGGTGAGGTACTCTAAGAGAGAAAGGAAGACTGAGAAAATGGTAGGAATCGATGTAGTGTTAAGATGAGGATAATATGTGTACATTTCTGTGCCGCTGACGTGGGTTCGAGCCATATCGCGTAGTCTCCAACCAGTGGTTTATCTTATCTCGCGGACCCCAACCGGCTGGTCTGCATCGCTTCACATGGCTCAAACCAACGTTATAGGAATTCATGTAGTCATGCAAAGTTTTAGTCTTGCCGCCTGGAGCCTTTTTCCAGCCTAAACCTACTTCGGCCAACATTGTGTGACGAGGCAGACGACAACTAAGCATATATAACACATCTCGGAGCCAAACGTCTCAGTCGATGAAAGTTCACAACCGTGTCAACTGGCTCACCTCTTCTCCCTAAAACTCTACACCTAAGCATGACTTCTCCGTTACTCACATGGTGGCACCATGGAATACGGCCTATACTACGAAGGCAACGGTAGTCAAACACCTGAAGCCTTCTCATGTCTTCCACCTTAAAAGCGGACTGCTGTGCAGTACACGCGACCCTTAATAGACAATCGGATATCACGGCGATGTCACAGATGGTGTAAGTTGGCAAATGCCAGCTGAACTTTTTGTATCCGTGCGTAGATTTCATCGGCCACTGAGCTAGCCACCAGGGCAGGGCTGATTCCACTTCCCAGGTAAGTGAAGTGGTCAACACACTCAACCACTTCACTCTCTATTGTTAGCCATGACACCGTTGAAGACCAATCTTAGAGTAACAATTTGCATTTGGGTGGTGAGAAACGCATCCCCAACATTCTCAAATTGCCACTCAGTGTTCAGAAGATTCTGCACTTTGTCAGCGTCTTCACCTAACAGGACTTTGTCATCTGCATATTATAGGTCTAACGGAAATTCTCCTGCGACTAGGTCAACGTCTGTGTAGCAAGGTGACGAGAGGGAAACCTCCATAAGAATATCTATGATAAAATTGAATAAGAATGTAGAGAGTGGGCACCCCTATCGGACACCACACGATGAGTACAGCTCCCTGGACATCTCACCATAGGTTCTAACACTCCTACAAGTGTTCGAGTAGAGAGCCTTCACTAAGGTAATGTACTTACTAGGCACGCCTTTCAGTGGGAGACATTGCCATGAGACTTCTCGATCAACAGAGTCGAATGCCACCTTCAAGATGAGTGATAGTGTTCTGTTCTCACTCAAAGCGGCTTTGGTGTTTTCGTTGCTGAGCTGCACTCGTAATGGTTTTGTTACCAGTTTTCCTACATCTATTGAGACACAAGCATGTACGAGATTGGACCATTGCGTGGTCGCTATCCAAACACTTACTCCAGAAGGAGCAGCAGTCTTCCGCCGATTATTTACAGTGATGACTGATAGCAAGGTAGTCTATCTGTGTCCATCACCGAGTTGGGCTCGGTGGACGCCACTCCAGACACTGTCTTTCTTTATGTCTGGAATTTGTGCTAGCTAAAAATAAGCGGTTATCAGAGCATAGTTGTAGCAGACGATCACCGTTGTCTGTTCGTTCAACTGTGATTCCGAAAGTGCCACCTAAGTGGCCTTCTGCCTCACTCAGTCTACCCACCTGTGCATTGAAGTCACCTGCAACAACAACCACGTCCGAACGTTTGACTCTCGAGAGGAGGCTAGACAGTTTCCGGTAGAACTCGTCCTTCACTTCATCTGAACTGTAGTCAGTGGGTGCGTAAGCAGAGATTACAAAGAGACAACGGCGAGTTTCACTATTCCTTTTAGTTCACACTGTGCCGTCCAGTCGGACAGCGCAGAGGTGACTATCAACTGAGATGCAGTCTAGTAGTGAGCTTTCTACCCTGGCCCTGGTGCTTAGTGTTATGCCTACACCTGCAAGACCGCGAGAGCTAGCCATCCAATCTCCAGAAACTCGAAGGGTGAGTTTTGTGCATTCACCAGACTGCTTGGAAGAGGTTAGGTGAATAACCACGTTTGCGTCCTGTATGCGAGCCTCACAAACACAACACACATCCATGGTCCGAGGTGCTAGAGAGAGTCTTTGCCAACGAAACCTGTTGATCAATTTGACGGAGGGTGCAGACATCTAAGGCCCCGATGTGTAATTTGGAGCGTAGTTTAAGGAGACCAGAGATGCTGTTTTGTTGATTCAGATCGTTGTTGAAGGCTGAAGAGCTGGGAGAAATTTAATATGATGTAGTATCGGTAATTGAGACGTGAATTAAGATTAGGAAGTAATGATGAGGGAGGTGGATAGCAGTCTGAAGAAACTTGAGTGCTGATCGAGTTGTGAGGGTGGTTGAGACTTCGCGGCTACTCACACGGTGGAAGGCTATTTCGGAAAGAAATGACAAACTAACCAATACCACCGACCCGGCAGATCATGGGGCATGGTAGAGTGTGTTATTTTGGGGGCTGACCTTTTCTGAACCCACCCCGCTTCCACTGGGAAGGTAACATCAGCATGCCCGTGCTGGTCATCCAAGGGAAACACTCAGACGTCTGATGATTATTGGACCTCGAATCTCAGATAATATGTTTATCGGGCTGATACCCCTGCAAATATCACAAGGGGATTTTTCACCTTTTTTAAAGACTGGGACAATCTGATTGAAATCAGCCAGAAGGAATCATGTCTGATTCCATTAGGCTAACTAACCTGGCATTAATCTACAACTGCTGTCTGTAAATATTTTAGGTACTATTCTATTTGGATGTTGGTGGGAAATTGCTGAATGGTGTCAGAGGTACCAAGTATTGCATGGGAATCAGATTTCCCATCAGATTGATCATCCCAGTCTATAATTAGGAAAAATCTTGCGGCAACCATGCGAGAATTTTGTCA